CTTTTGCACTTACAAATATGCTATAGCCCCATTTAGTTACTTGCATTCGCTGGTGGGGTTGGACTTTTGTAAGAATCAGGGCCTATTGGAGCATTTTTTTTTTTTTTTTTTTTAAGTTAGAAAAAAGTGTCTATTGCGGGATTCAATCCCGGGTCTTAGTGGTCGAAAAACCAATGGTTTAGACCATCCTTCCACGAACCTCTCCTTTAGAACCATTGTGGTTGCTAGTATCCATCAAAGCAATGTTCATATTTTTGCGACTATACGGTGACAAATATTCTCCATTTTGTTAATCTGTTGGTGACCATCACTCACAGCTCATGATGGTCTTCCTCTCTTTCTTCAAATTTTTCCTAACATCAATATCTTTATTATCAAAAGTACAAAATCATGAGACAGAGTTTCTTATGAGATTTTTATTTTTAGCAAAGCTTTCAAGCATTTATGTCATTCTCCAGGAGATATGTATATATATAAACAATCTTTCTTCTTATCCCTCTGTACCTGGCCTCTGGTGCAGTGGACATTGTTGGAAGGTACAGTAAACCCTTTACACGATCGTATCAAGTCTTGTTCTGGTAGACTTGATGCTGTAACCAGAAGGGACACTCCCCCTTTAAAAATCCTGAGTTCAACTGACCCGGTTGATGGACCTCAGCAAGGATCCCACTCCAGGAATACAGAGGAGCTGTGTCTGTACTCATGTTAGAGTCAGCAGTAAAGGCTTCCATGTTAGGAACAGCCTCAAATTACAGGCAAAGTCAGACTTTCACCAAAGTGTGCCTGGATCATGGTGCCATGATCAAAGAAAGCTGCACCCCTATACCCCATTCCATGAGATCATGAACTCATGGGATTCGTGTAATCTTTACACAAGGGGATAAGAAACAACAACAACAACATCTTTCTTCTTATACCTTCTCATTTTTACTCCTGTAGAAAGGCAGAAATGTTCAAAAGCTCGACTAAATAAATAAAAAAAAACTTTACAAGAAATTCTATATAATACACTGCGGCCTGTGATTATAAAACGACACTTGGAAGTTTCACCGCATGAGTTTCTTTTAACGAAAAATCAAATTTTTATTTCAAGGTAAAATATCGACTATTTTAAACCTTTTTTGGATGAGGTATGAAAGGGTGAATTATGAAGAGTAATGACGAACGGAATAAATACCTCATCCAAAAAAGGTTAAAAATAGTCGATATTTTACCTTGAAATGAAAATTTGATTTTTCATTTAAAAGAAACTCATGCGGAGTAACTTCAAGTGTCGTTTTACAAGAAACTCTTTATCTTATGATAAGGCACAATTTGGATTATAGATTATAAACACAAGGTAATAAGACCAAATCCAAATAAATAAATAGTGTGTGACGTTTCAGTAACAGCGTTGTTACCATCTTCAGACAAATTCAGTACATTCAGTACTTTTGTCTGAAGATGGTAACAATGCTGTTACCGAAACGTCACACACTATTTATTTATTTGGTTTTGGTCTTATTTACATTGTGTTTCTTTGCCTCACGATTTTGTTCTTCTTTTGACTATATACTGCTCCAGGTGGTTATCAAACCTAACCTAATCCAACTTATTGCTATCTTTTCTAATCCATTTGTTCTCATTAGATGTCTGAAGCTGCAATTCTCAGCCTGCAACCCCAAGACACATTATTGACTGTATTGACTCATCCATTGATGAGCTCTACTCTTCCCCGGCAGACACCATCAACAAGCTTTACAAGCTTGATACCTTAATATGATTGAGTGGAGATAAGAAAGAAGAAGAAGAAGAGATGTCTGAAGCTGCAATTCTCAGCCTGCAACCCCAAGACACATTATTGACTGTATTGACTCATCCATTGATGAGCTCTACTCTTCCCCGGCAGACACCATCAATAAGCTTTACAAGCTTGATACCTTAGTGTGATTGAGTGGAGATAAGAAAGAAGAAGAAGAGATGTCTGAAGCTGCAATTCTCAGCCTGCAACCTCAAGACATATTATTGACTTTATTGACTCATCCATTGATGAGCTCTACTCTTCCCCGGCAGACACCATCAATAAGCTTTACAAGCTTGATACCTTAGTGTGATTGAGTGGAGATAAGAAAAGAAGAAGAAGAGATGTCTGAAGTAGGTCAGTCTTTATTTTATTGTCCTATTGCAGAACAACACAAAGATGGTGATAAAAGAATAAGCCACAATACCACCTTTGTCAAAATAAGACAAAAGCCAACAACCTAGTAATAAGACCAAATCCAAATAAATAGTGTGTGATAACTTCTTAGGGCCATTGAAGTCTATAAAATTGATAAGGCACAATTGAGATTATAGATTATAAAATAATGCAATAAGACCAAATCCAAATAAATAAATAGTGGGTTGTATATGTGTGTGTATTGTGTGTTTGGATTTGGTCTTATTACCTTGTTTTATAATCTATAATCCATTGATAAGGCACAATTTGGATTATAGATTATAAACACAAGGTAATAAGACCAAATCCAAATAAATAAATAGTGTGTGACATTTCGGTAACAGCGTTGTTATCATCTTCAGACAAAAGTACTGAATGAGAAATTTTACCACAGCATGTTTTTAAATAGTTACTGTTATCAAGTGTGTAAACAAGATAACGGATAAGAAGAAGATATTTATCTGAGAAACACAGAATATTATTCTTAGAATTAAAAGTGGAAAAATATATATATAATTAAAAGCATAATTAGCACAATTAAAAGCATATCTATAAATATCATTTATATTTCCTCTTTCTTCCATCTATTAATTGTAGCATATTTCTTTTGAATGAAAAAATGCTTTTTTAAATTGTCTCTTAAAATAATTTTTCTCATAATCTAGTATCTTTGTTTCTTCAGCTAACAACCTGTATACCATATTATCTGACTATGGACCTCATCAGTAGAGAGACAGCTTCATTTCCATAACATCCTACAAGAGTAGTTATAAAAACGTTTGAATTGGCCAAAAAAAGATGTTCGAACTGAAGTGGCAGGCCCATTCTTAGACCAGTATATTTCTTTTGTCTGATGATGGTAACAATGGTATTCCGAAACATCACACACTAATAAATTATTTGGATTAGGTCTTATTTTCTTTTTTTATAATCTATAATCCAAATTGTGCTTTATCATTTCTTTTTATATTGAAATACAAGAAAATAAGACCTAATCCAAATAATGTAATAGTGGTGTGATGTTACGGCAACTGCATTTGTCACTATCATCAGACAAAAGACATATTATTGACTGTATTGACGCATCCATTGATAAGCTATAATCTTCCCCAGCAGACGGCAACAGCATTTGTCACTATCATCAGACAAAAGGCATATTATTGACTGTATTGACTCATCCGTTGATGAGCTCTACTCTTCCCCGGCAGACGGCAACAGCATTTGTCACTATCATCAGACAAAAGACATATTATTTACTGTATTGATTCATCCATTGATGAGCTCTACTCTTCCCCAACAGAAACCATCAAAAGTCTCATGTTTTACAAGCTTGATACCTTAGTGTGATTGAGTGGAGATAAGAAAGAAAAAGATCAGATAAAAGAATGTTTTTTTGTTATTCTCTCCATTTATTCTTTTGTCTGATGATGGTAACAATGCTGTTGTCGAAACATCACACACTATTAAATTATTTAGATTAGGTCTTATTTTCTTGTATTATAATCTATAATCCAAATTGTGCTTTTTATCATAGACTAGTATATAATATAGAATTGAGGGAGAATGATATTTTCATTTACCAAATTTATTATATCTTGCCTGTCGAAGGGCTTTTGCCCGAAAGCTTGCCCTAATGTACCAATAAAAGATACTAGTCTTCCTTCGCCATGTTTTTTATCGTCTAAAAACCAAATGAGGCACTCTCTCTCTTTTATAAAATACACTGATTTAATGCATATGCTCTTTTGTTACATAAATCCCAATTTATACGTTAGCAGACACAATTTTTTTTTCTCTTATCCATAGTACACATGATACAGGCCATGATAATCATGGTGGGTAGAAGTAGGTGACTGCTTTTACTGTAAGTGCACCACATGTCTACACATGTGAAAAGCTGAGACACAATTTAAATAGTAGGTGTTGAAAGTTGGAGAATTCCGACACAAGGGAGAGAGTGTAAAAGTATTACTAGAAAGACAAAGTAATAAGACCAAATCTAAATAAATAAATAGTGTGTGATGTTTCGGTAACAGTGTTGTTACCATCTTCAGACAAAAGTACTGAATGAGAAATTTTACCACAGCATGGTTTAAATAGTTACTGTTATTAAGTATGTAAACAAGATAGCACTGCTCTGTTTACACACTTGATAACAGTAACTATTGCTATCTTGTTTACATACTTGATAACAGTAACTATTTAAACCATGCTGTGGTAAAATTTCTCATTCAGTACTTTTGTCTGAAGATAGTAACAACGCTGTTACCTAAACGTCACATACTATTTATTTATTTATATTTAGTTTTTAATAAAAGAAAATAAGACCTAATCCAAATAATTTATTAGTGGATTAGGTCTTATTTTCTTTTATTATAATCTATTATCCAAATTGTGCTTTATTATATTTAGTCTTGTGAAGTTGAAGGAATAGTATCTTACCACAAATAAACATTGATGAATAACTGTACAAGTGTTTAAAATAATTATAATCACAAATTTTGAGATCAAACTTTTGTGTTTATAATCTATAATCCAAATTGTGTCTTATCATTACTCCTATATATTTATATATTTCAACACACAAAACACGATATTCCGGCTAGGGATAATTGCATCGATTTACATTTTTTTAAACAGGAACAGTTATAAACATATTATACAAGAAAAAGTAATCAAAAATAAAAAAGAGAAACAATTAAAATATACAGTTATCAGCGTCATAATCAATTCTTTCTTAATCAATTCTGTCACCGTTTGCTTTTGTGAATGGAATAAATACCCAAATATGACCATTTCTCATGACCATCGGTGATTCAGTGGTAGAATGCTCGCCTGCCACGCGGGCGGCATGGGTTCGATTCCCGGCCAATTCATTTTTTTTTTTACAATTTTTAAAACTCATTTATATATTATACAAGAATGACATCCACGGCGCCAATTTATAATTGTAATGAATAGTATTTGAATAAAAGCATTTTATATTCGGCTAGTAATATATATTAGGAACCTGAACCTTTCAGGTTAGAAAGATAATAATAAATATATCTACAAAAATAGTTAACCTATGATAATTATCTCTGCTATTCATTATCATTATTCCTAGAAAGGTCATCATCTCTCTTTCAAAATGGATGCCAAAGTGTCATCCATTACCAACTGTGACAGATTCCAGCCATGTCAATCCTGACCAGCTACTTACAGAAAAATCACATCCGAAGACGTTGAGCTCGCAGTCTCTTGGTTTGATATCGCAGATGTCGTGATGGCTGTCGAGCTGTGACACATGGTCAGTCAGTTAGCTTTAGAAGGAAGACCTTCAAACATAATGTGAAAAAATAGTACAAATGTGATATTGTACTTGGATAAGGTGCATAAATTATGAAAAAGGGCATCTCCTTATTGTGGCAACTGAAATTTGCTGATGGCTTGCGCCATCTATCGGAATAAATATCAACTATTCTCGTTGAATTTTTAATTATTCCAGAATTGACCAAATACCATTCTTGATCAATCAAGAAAAGTTAACCATGGGCGCGTTTCGGGCTGTTGGCCCTCATCACCGTGGTGCAAGCTGTACCTCAACGACAAAAAATTGGTCATTCAGGCATCCTGAAAAATCATGAAACGGGTAGTTAAGGCCAGAATTACGTGAGACCGCGACACAATGTGAAAAAATAGTACAAATGTGATACATACGGCAATAACACATCATTTATACACAATATTTACCTCTTTAATTCAACAGTTTTTTTTTTTTTAAATACTAATACAGCTATTATCTTTTTATTTTTTGCTTATTCCTAGTATACGTGGTACAGGCCATGATAATCATGTTGGGTAAAAGTAGGCGATTGCTTTTACTGTAAGTGCACCACATGTGAAAAGCAGTTCGACTTTGCACTTATAAGCTTCATTTTTTATATTTGTAGTCACTGGTGGGGTTGGATTTTTGCAAGAATCAGGGTCAATTGAAGCAATTTTTTTTTTTTCAGTAAAAGAGTGGCTAATACAGAGTTAAATTCTGGGTCGTACAAAATCAATAGTTTATATCGCTCATCCACTGATACCCCTCCACCAACATTTGAAATCAAAAAGTCAAACTGCTTTCTAAGTGTTGTTGTTGTTTCTTATCCCCTTGTGTAAAGATTACACGAATTCCATGATCTCATGGAATGGGGTATAGGGGTGCAGCTTTCGTTGATCATGGCACAATGATCCAGGCACACTTTGGTGAAAGTCTGACTTTGCCTGTAATTTGAGGCTGTTCCTAACATGGAAACCTTTACTGCCGACTCTAACATGAGTACAGACACAGCTCCTCCGTATCCCTGGAGTGGGACCCTTGCTGAGGTCTATCAACCGGGTCAGTTGAACTCAAGATTTCTAAAGAGGGAGTGTCCCTCCTGGCTTTCTAAGTGTGTAGACATGTGGTTGCACTTACAGTAAAAGCATTCGCAAAATACCTACCATGATTATCATGGTACCTGTAAGATTATGTACTTGGGATAGTAAGTGCACCACGTGTCTACGCATGTGAAAAGCAGTTTGACTACATATCATACATTGCACATAATCCAACATACACTTCCAATAAGAGAGACTACCTCTAGGAAAGACCAGGTAAGACAGGTTTGTTGCTAAAGGAGAAGGTTGTAGTGTATACAAACAGAGAAATGTAAAAACTCACGTCTTTCTTGAGGATGCCGAAGGACTGGCAGTACTCACAGGTAACCCTCCTGTAGTCACACTCCACCTGATGGTCCTACCAACCAACTCTGTTTATGATCATGGAAGTCATTGCGCGGCGTAATTCTTACTCACCTGCAGAATCTCTGCCCACATATCCTTCTGACACAGGATACAAGTGACGGACCTACGCGGACATTCATTCTGCAGATGGCTGATCAGGTTCTTCTTGAGTACGACCAGGTTACAGTCATGGGGACAGGTGACACACTTGAAATTGCAGGAGGACATGTGGCTCTGGAACACAAGTGGTCAGCTTCTTCCACAAAGAAAGAGGGATATATTTGAAATTTTTTAAGAGATTTTATAAATTTAAATTGATAAAGCACAATTCGGATTATAGATTATATACACAAGGTAATAAGACCAAATCCAAATAAATAAATAGTGTGTGATGTTTCAGTAACAATGCTGTTACTGAAACGTCACACACTATTTACCTGAACAAATTCCCTGATAAATCTCGGTGCATATAGTGATGAACAAGGAGAGTGATTCCATCAAGACATGAAAGTGATGGAAGAGAGATATCAAGGTGACTGCCACATGATGGCAGATTACTGCTGGAATCTGTCCCGCAACCTGCCGGAATACACTTATAAGAAGAAATAAAAAAGGTTGAAATTCATGAAGGATTGACTGTAGCATTTTACATTTTTTATATATATATATATATTATATAATCTAAAACCTCAAATATTTCTATATTTAAAAAATATATATTTTATTTTATTCATTGATAATTTTATTTTTGTTATCATCGTTTTTAAAAAGACTTTCAGTTTAGTTGTATAGTTTTGTTGTAAATATGCGTAGTTAACATATCAATCCTTTTAAATCACTAATATAGGATTAACTTATAAATTCTATATAATGTGAAACTAACTAATGTGTAATCTTTCCTCAAGTAATTGAAAATAAAAGCTACTTGACCTTAAATAATTTATCTTTTTTTATCATGACTGCACCTCAACCCTTTATCTTATCGATCCTTTGTCTTATCAAGCCTTATCTAACAACAACACAAAATATTCATAACATATATATATATATATATTTGATTTTTTTTTTATACTACAGTGAATAAAGTACCTTTTGGTATGACGTTCTCAGTTTTTATTTGCGTTCAATGTGTTTTTTGTACCGCTTATATGGAGTGATGTACCACATTGTGGCCTAAATATGTACATGTTATATCTCTAAAAATTGATGAGATACATAAAAACTAACATTATATTCGTGATCAGCACCTCAAATTAAGTCAGAAACTGATGCATTATCAAAAACATCTTTTTCATTGTAGACCAGTGTAATCCAAATTGTGCTTTATCTTTCATAAGTTTTGTCAATGAGTGTATGTAGTCCAGGATGAGCTCAGTTTGCAATATGTGGGTCGGAAGTCTCAGAAACAGTGTTATCTTATAACTCAACATTTACTTATCCTATTTGAGATACCGTTGATAAACACTGGTGTTTAATTATAGGAAGCTTCAACTAGGCTGGAATCTTAAATTTTATCTGTTGTGTATGTGGGGAACTTGGTGATACAGAACAACCTCCCTTTAGCGGACACCTCTCTACAAAGGACAGTTTTCATTTGCAAAATTACCATTTTTACAATATAGCAACTCTCCGGTAAGAGGACACCTCTACCTAAAGGACACTTTGGCTCTGCAATTAGGTGTCCTTTACTGGGAGGTTCTACTGTAGCAACTCTCAGGTAAGAGGACACCTCTACCTAAAGGACACTTTGGCTCTGCAATTAGGTGTCCTTTACTGGGAGGTTCTACTGTAGCAACTCTCCGGTAAGAGGACACCTCTACCTAAAGGACACTTTGGCTCTGCAATTAGGTGTCCTTTACTGGGAGGTTCTACTGTAGCAACTCTCCGGTAAGAGGACACCTCTACCTAAAGGACACTTTGGCTCTGCAATTAGGTGTCCTTTACTGGGAGGTTCTACTGTAGCAACTCTCCAGTAAGAGGACACCTCTACCTAAAGGACACTTTGGCTCTGCAATTAGGTGTCCTTTACTGGGAGGTTCTACTGTAGCAACTCTCAGGTAAGAGGACACCTCTACCCAAAGGACACTTTGGCTCTGCAATTAGGTGTCCTTTACTGGGAGGTTCTACTGTAGCAACTCTCCGGTAAGAGGACACCTCTACCTAAAGGACACTTTGGCTCTGCAATTAGGTGTCCTTTACTGGGAGGTTCTACTGTATTATCAAAGATAGCAGGAGTGATAATAATAAAGCTGATGTGTTGTTGTTGTGTCCAAAGAAGAGCCTCAGATGTCTCTGTACATCTGTATCACAGCAGTCGCAATGTTCTCTATCTTGCATTTTGTTTTTAAACTGCTGTTCTGGGTCAATTTTCTGTTGTTGTTGTGTCCAAAGAAGAGCCTCAGACGTCTCCATACATCTCTATCACAGCAGTCGCAATGTCCACTATCTTGGGGGTGTAAAGCTGCTGTTCTGGTTCAATTTTCTGTTGTTGTTGTGCCCAAAGAAGAGCCTCAGATATCTCCATACATCTCAATCATAGCAGTCGCAATATCCTCTATCTTGGGTGTGTAAAGCTGCTGTTCTGAGTCAATTTTCTGTTGTTGTTGTGTTCAATGAAGAGCCTCAGATGTCTCCATACATCTCAATCACAGCAGTCGCAATATCCTCTATCTTGGGATGTGTAAAGCTGCTGTTCTGGGTCAATTTTCTATTGTTGTTGTGTTCAATGAAGAGCCTCAGATGTCTCCATACATCTCAATCACAGCAGTCGCAATATCCTCTATCTTGGGATGTGTAAAGCTGCTGTTCTGGGTCAATTTTCTATTGTTGTTGTGTTCAATGAAGAGCCTCAGATGTCTCTGTACATCTCTATCACAGCAGTCGCAATGTTCTCTATCTTGCATTTTGTTTTTAAACTGCTGTTCTGGGTCAATTTTCTGTTGTTGTTGTGTCCAAAGAAGAGCCTCAGATGTCTCTGTACATCTCTATCACAGCAGTCGCAACATCCTCTATCTTGGGGTGTGTAAAGCTGCTGTTCTGGGTCAATTTTCTGTTGTTGTTGTGTCCAAAGAAGAGCCTCAGATGTCTCTGTACATCTCTATCACAGCAGTCGCAATGTTCTCTA